GTGTAAATAAACATTTTTTTATAAATAATATTGGGAGTAGACATGCTCTTGACTAATTTTTCTGCTTTTCTGTCATAGACAAACTAATATCTAGATATGTCTTATGTGAATGCAGCAGGTTACGTTTTGGTTTTGTACGCAAAATCATGTTCATAATACTAATATCAAAGTTTTATTTTACATGTTTAAAATTACATAAAAATGCAATTTAACATTAAATTCAACAATGACGATTTCTGTGTTAACTGCCAATTTGAGAGTTGATATTTCTTTTTAGCTAGTTTTGTCATGAGAGAAACTCAACAATCAAAGATTAGTGGATATTCTATTTTTTTCTTCTGTCATTCCCTTTAATATGTTGCTCACTCGCAGAGGAATTATTAAGCAAAGCCAAGTTATTCACAGAATTGTAGGACTGAAGTCTATTGACATGTTTTCTACTTCACAGGAAGTGGGGTTCCTCTAATATCCTATTCTTAGATTTAAATATAGGCTAGAAATTAAAGTTGTTAAATGTCAACTTTAATATGAAAACACGCATATATGTAGCATCAGATAATCCTATTACCTTAGGCTCTCATAAAAATAACTAGTTTTGACTATAAATTATGAACCTCCTTTAGGAAGCATTGAAATAGAAAATTTATGCCATAATATAAATATTTAATCTGAACTATATTTCTTTATTTATGATATCAATATTTCAATTTTTTTTAAATCGAGTAACAATAGGGGGGCATCAACTTTCAGTAGAAATTAAGTGAATTTGCTCCACATGATTTAAAAAGATGCATCTTAAATTGGGGATAATGGCCTACAGTCTTCATACTGGCGAATCAAATGTTGCACCACTTCTATTTATCTTACTCAAATATTTAATACACATAGATGAATTGATATGTAATACATATATCAATTTATTGTCTAGACATCAGAATGAGAGAGAGAGAAAAACAAAACAATTGAATCATACTCTTCAAATATGAATTTCATAAAGTCAAAAGAAGCTTTAAGTGCACATTTGAACATTATTCCTATTTGTGGCATTTATATTGCATGAATATTCTAGGGAAGTGGTAGATGAAAAATAAACTAATTACACACTGCCGACTGCAACAAATTTATTTTCAGAGTATACATGACATTGCAACTGATTAGGATTCTGGGTTGAAAAAAGGATTGAAGATTAAAAAAAAGATTAGGTTTAAAAAAATTAGACAGGAGGCATATGATGGACTAATGCACTTTCATTTCATATGATGATTAAAGATCAATTATTTTATTGAGCTTTTCTCAACATTTTAGAACATTTATTTTGTCAACAGAATTTGTAATTTTTCACAATTTATTTTTTCAATTTTTTGAATTTCCATTTGGATGGTATGTTTTTCAGCTGCCATTTCCAATTTTTGGTATCATCTTGCAAGTTTTGTTTGTGCTCCTTTAGAGCCATCTGGAACGGGTGATGCTCTTAGTATAATTTTTACTGAAAGAAAAAATATTTATAAAATCAGCCATTTACTTTAGATTGATCGTTTATAATTTCTACTAGTGTTATATTCATCACTAAATTCATTAAAACATCCATACCTGATAATTGTAATTGTATTGTACCTGATAATTATACCTAATAATTGTAGCAACAAAGTTTTACTAACTCGTGTGTACTCGAGGGCGCTAACGCTGACGCTGTAGCTGCTCCGTGCCTGAAGGGTCGCGAATCCCGCCCGCGGCACGGATGTTGCTATGTTGCTATGTTTTCGTTTCTCTACCGTTTGTCCCAATGTTAATTACTGTGGTCGCTATATGACCCTAGTAGTTGAAATGATACCTTAATGTATGATTTTTTTTTAAAAAAAAATACTTATTTTCTGGGACTCGTCCGACCTTTTATTTTCACGTCGCAGAGTCAGCGTCGAGCAGAATCTTCTCACCCCCACCCTCGAGAATTTCTATTTCAATTTGGCCTTCCTGTGCCCCTAAAGCTTTGCAAAAACGACACATGAAGGACTGCAGCATCCTAATCCATTGTCAATGGATTAATTTTCCCAGCATTTCTGAAACCATTTCCTCCACAGAGTGAAAAGTAAATTTTGTTAGAGGCCCTCCACCTTTCTTTCTTGTGTTCTTTCTGATGGCATCCGTCACTTCGTGGAGAGCTTTATACGTTTCCACAATCCCTAAACAGAAATAAAGGCACATAAAATACGTCACATTTAAAAGTATTAAATATACACCATACATGCATAAACGTGCTCATACTTCTCACTTGCTTGTGTAATATAAATCTGTTGTACCAGAATAGGCCTACCGAATGTAATAGTTGTGCATTAGCATTTTTTAACTTTAATAAAGCTTTTTTTTGTTATTTAAGGTCCGACTAACATCTAGGTCATTAGCGACCACTATAGCATTTAACGGTATGGTAACTGTGACGATGACATGATATGGTGATGATAGGGGTGAAAGGACACAAATATAACCATACCCGAGGATGGACTCGAACCCGCGATCCTTAGTCCAAAATCGCTACGGCACAACTGCCTTAACGATCTCTGCCATGCGGACAGGCTTTTACTACCTTTGTGTGCCCGAGCGCGGCATTTTCGTCGATCTAAATAAATTGTAAACATTACACCACTGAGAATATTTTCGTAACTATCCACAAACGTGATGTCAGAAGTCAGGGGAGATAATTAAGCCTAGCATCTTGTCGGAGCTCCGTTATCAAATAGTGCTGCGAACCTGGTGTCTGCCCCTGTGATTTTGTGTGTAGGGGCAGCTGTCGGAGTGGTTAGCAACGTTGCTGTAATACAGTTACGTTTTTTGCGTGTGTTTTTTATGCCGAATGTGTGCTGAATATATGGTGGGAATAAATGTTGTTTTTTTTAACGCGTTGAGACAAAAGGGGTGTTTGGCAGTGCTTGAGTTAACACAAGAACATGGTCTCATTGCTGTAGGAGTCCGGAAGCGAAAGAATGATTCATGAGTCACGGTTAGTGATTCCGGGCGCGCCAACTACTAGGGTTATTACTTCCTATATGCAGAGCATATTTTTGCCCGGCAATGAAGGTGGTCTTCCCGAACTGTATGGGGAGATCCGGCGCCGACACACCGTCGGCTAGGAGTTTTCCTCAACCAGGTATCTCCTACTAACGGGACACCTTTCCAGCTTTAAGCTCCCGGCATGTGTGGTAGTGTAGACTCGGCATGTTGGTGTAAGGATGGGTAAAGAGTGAGACTAGGACAAGAAAGACGTAGGAAAGATAGCGCGCGGTCCGCGCCCGGTTTCACCTCCGGCATTCATCTTGTGTTGATCGGAGCAATCACAGAAAACTACCTCAGAGCAGCCAGAAGGATGAATTCTCCTCCAGACAGTCCCTCAATTCGACTTACTTGACCAGCTACTGACGAAAATCTTGCCACTGCCTAGGACCTCCCGGTCAGAGGGACTGCAGTGACGCCAGTTAATGCGCTGAGCCATCTCTCCTGTCCAAGCGAAAAGAGTTGAGTGATCGTTTCGAGAAGATGTGCAGGAAGAAAATACGCACTTTCTGTGCGGAAGGTGTCAACAGAAGTTTGTCGTCGTTGTTACTTGCCTCCAAACTTAACGACACGTTAAAGTCGCCTATCGCCTACCTGACTTTATTCATTTTTTCAGAGCGATTAGCGCTATTTTAGGGAGGGCTTAAGGTGACTCCCCTCCACCTTCCCTGCCTCCCTCTGCTTCACTAAGAGCGTAGCGTGTTCTCTTCTTTACCTCTACGTCTCGGCAAGGCAAGGCAATCCTGGCCGGAGTGGCAGAACCACGATTTGCAACAGTGGTCCAAATCTCGTCGTAAAAGTCGACCCATAGTGTTTGTCAACCATGTTATGGGTACACTAATATGGTGGACAGCTCCGGCTTCTCGTGACACTTCCTGTACGCAGAAGAGATTCATTGCGCTATGAATACACCTCCATGTATTCATAGCTCCACGAGTTCGAGTCACAGAAGCCCTTGGGCGTCGTGACGTCACCGTCGCCTCTAGCGGAAGGCTGCTCCCTGCATTTCAGCCATTTCCCCTTTTGCGCTCCCCCCCCCCGTTATCGGTGGCGCCACAGGGAGGCGAGGTCGAAAAATGTTCAACTCAAAACACAATTTTGCTACCACTCAAACTAACAACCTCGATAGCAAAACAGTCGCGACTGCTAATAAAATCCACTCAGAACTCTGATCCTTGTCGTTCATCCCGGCATTGCATTGATCAAGCGCACGTGGCAACACTGCGCGAGTGAAGGGTATCGTACCTTGGTTCTGCCAGTACCTTGGTTCGCGCCTTCTAATCGGTGAATTGCGAGGTAGGCCTATATTTCAGCAACAACCCGCATCCTCTAATCGGACAAGCTGCAATTATTCAGCTACGGCAAGGTGCAATTTAAAGATGCATGCAAAACAGCGAACTTTAAATTTAGCTATTCACAATTTTCATTATATAATTTTATCGAATGCACACGGCAGTTATCCAACCTCTAATCATTTTTTTCGCTTTATTTTATTCTTTCATTTTATATCATTTCATTAAATATATGTTTTCACAATAAACAGTATGTGCAATGTTATTAATTAATTATCATTATACCGAGTTCTCCTCCTTCACAAATTAGTCATCATTTTACTAGCGTCATTCCCTTGCCCCCTGGGCAACTCACGGCCCCGCGGCGTTAAAATCTGTTGTGCAGGGGCGGGTCCTGTTCAATTCGGTGCTTCAACCGTTCCCTCCCACGGGCATTTGCTTCTCCCTCCGTGTAGCCTTTTGTAGTGAAAATTGTGTGCAACATTTTACTAACTGCAGTTTGCTTAGAGAAGAAACTATTAGGTATTCGTAAAATAAGCACGTTTCCTATTTTAAAAAAATTGATGCGTGTTCAATTGACGCATCGCGTACCAAGCGTTGAGCATTTTAGGAGTAATTGTACATTAATTATTACAATGTCATATCAGTCACGTCTCTTCGCAGTCAGTTATCAAGAGGACCGCCAGGTAGCATCTTCGCGTACGTGCCTCCTACTACGCGCTCCTGCGTCACTACTCAGCGGCCAGAAATTGGAAAGGAATTAGGATTGGGTTAAGGTTTAGGACACTTCACAGGGGGTTGGACAAGCCCTTGTGAAGCAGCCAAACTTTGTTGCAACACGTTTCACATGAGATTGTCCGGGATTTGACAGGAATCGAACCGCTCTGAGCCACAAGATTACGTTTTTAAAATAACTATTCCGTTCACACTATTCTCTCAATTTTTCTTCACCAGTCATTACCCTTTCTCCCTCATCAACCCTTGCTTTTACTATGTCGCTCCTCCATTAACCACTTGCCCTCAACTAGCAGTCGCTAATTTGTGTGGAGCCTACGCTGACAAACAGTACAGCTCTGAAGGAAGTCGAATTATATTGGCCAAAACTCGGACATGCATGCGGCTCTGAAGATTTCGTAGACTTTTTTAACATTAGCGTTCATGCAAATAACGTTTCCATTACATCAGATTTTTCAGAAACCGTAAAAAACTTATTCACAAGTTATCACCTTTTAAAACCATGTAATATGCTGTACTGCTTACCAGTATAGTTATAGTCTGCATATACTGCTATCAAATCAGTTATAAATAATTATGACCATTTTATTAATTGTTGGACACTTCTTTTGTCAGAAGCATCTGCGGACATATTTGCTTTTGCATAAAATAGGGTTATAATTACATATACATTATTTTACTTCAGTTTGCAAATAGTTTATTTTTCCAAACAAAACTACAATTTACAAGTTAATGTAACAATTTGTTTGCTTATAAAGAAATAAAAAAAAAAGAATTGAAATCTAATTGTGCTAGTCACGATCATCTGAAAAATCACATCTTTCAGATCTTGGCTATCCATTACAGTTTGAGTTTCAGTGAATGTCCATCAAGAAAAAAATACCATTCGAGGACAAGAGTATCTGAAGAATTCTCTGACTATCTCCTTGAAGTTCAGTCAACTGACTTCCTAAATTAGATCCCTTTGACAATGGTATACATATATCAAGCGATACCTAATGCAGGCCAAATTGTACCATATTTGTTAATAAAAAAACACGTTTTCAAAGGGCCATAGCAATAGCTTTAGCAAATTTAAATATTACTGTAGGATAACTGACTGTATGAATCTTCCCTTTTGTTTTCTGAATAAATTTTCGCTTCACATTTCTGTCGTGTAGGTTCTTGCACATTCTATTTGAAGTTTGTGTCCTTGCGATCGCAATCTTCTAATGATTAAAATAGGACGCTCTTGTGAAGACGTAACATACAGAAATACGGAATGAACCACGGGGCTTGAGCAGTCACATGATCGTCAAACTTGAAGCCTTATTTATCAATGACTGCCACCAGCAATGCTAACTCATTTTTTACGATCCGGACAATGTTTGCTTTTGCAGGAACGCTCCCCACGTCTTTAACGTCAAAAATGTGTATGACGTACTATAAAGGGAAGAAATGTGAGAAAGATTTCTTCAGTTCTGGGATTTCTACTCTCATACCTCCTATATCTATTAGGATAAATTATGAATACTAGTGGAAATTATCGTGATTGGCAAGAATTAATGAAATATTCGCTCCAGTTCTATCTTCAGAGGCAAATTAGCTAAAGATTTTGGGAATTATCCCTTAAAGTTCCCTCTTTAAAGAATTACTTACCCGACTGAAAACATGGGAATCGATTATATTAATAACTATAGTTCCAGCAAGGTCAAAAACTCTTGCATAATATGAAACCCCCTTAACTTTGAATCAATGTCAGATTATTTTACTTCAGTTTAACTACACGTGCTTTCAGTGAGTAGAAACAATTAAAACAGTTTGCCGAGGTTCCGTAATATTCCAGAATTCCATCCTCAGGGCAAGTGTACAAAAAATATGGATTGAAGATATCAAAATGAATATTAAATTCACAAATTAATAAGAGTTGCAAAAATGATAGAAAATTTACACATCTTACGAAATATTTATGGAAATTTTAGAATCTCTGCAACAATATATACATATTCCAAAACGACTCCATAGGTTGCTGCAGTGCAATGATCTATCCCATACCACGTCTGGCCCAGACCAAGGCACCAAATCAAATGAATAAGAATTCTACAATTCAGGTGTAGGGTCAGGACCTCGCGCTACAGTCACTCAACTATGTTCACCAGGTCAAGTGTTTAAAATAACCCAGTTTTTTTATGTTTAATTAAAATCTTGAACATTTAAACAAGTATGCCTAATTTATCATTAACCAACAATGTAAAAATATAATTTGGGGGACAGATTTAAGTAAATTTGACAAAATTATTTTACTAGTAATAATATTTGAGATTTTCTAACATTTTATTAATTTTCTTACCAGGATTTTCTTACCTAGAAGATACCAAGCATTTACTACTTTTGCTTTCAAGCGAATCCGGCCTAGTAAAAAGTTCTCAAATTAAGCTCTAGTTATACGTTTTTCTCTTCTCATACGAATTTCACATTACAATTGAGACAAGTAAAATTCAATGAAATTTAAGTGAAAATTTGAACAAGCACACAATTATGGATTTACGGAGTACCCTGAAATGTGCTTTACTACTAACTTCATGCACATGTCCTTGTAAATAACACATTTCAAGATTTTTAAAATCGCTCTCATCTGTAATAGGAATGATTGTAAAGGAGAAAATGTTTGATTAATGTGTCAAGGGAATAAATAAAAAAAACATTGCAGTGCCAAGCGAGTCATTTATTTCAAAATCCAATGTCTACATTTCATTCCATAATAACCAAACAAAACTGATGTCGTAGCAATATATAAAATTCGTATTCCTTGTATTGGCTATGAATCCTGTATTTTTTCCAACAAACAAAACTTGCACAATATAAATCTTTCAAGGAAATGACAATTTGCAAAAGGGTTAATTGAATTTCTATGTTTTTCTATTTAAAAAAAATTACGTTTTCCATGGTTTCCAGAAATTTTGGTACAGAGTCAATGAATTATTTTAGTAGTAAGCAGATGAGGTGCAATTTAATGAATTATGGTAGCGGACAATTAAGGAGGAAGAGGTAATCTGAAATAATTATGTAATTTAACATGTTCTTTATTTACAATTCTCGTAAATACAAAATTCACTTATATTGAGCATATATATTGATGTTTCATTTACAAAAGATTATAACGGATTGGCAAGTACACTACTCAAAGAAATCGAATGTAAGCCAACAGTAAAATCCTTTTTAGTTTTATAATGAATGGTAAAGGTGAATTCACCATTTTGAGAAAAAACACTTAAAACTATCATCTTTGATACACATTTCATTTTTAATGGGAATAAACAACATATGCGAGTTGAAAAGGATTTAAGAATTTTGACTGTTTTGAACTACAGGAAATTACTGAAATTACAGCCTCTATGTAGATTTAGGGAGTTTCTAGATCTTCCTGTTTTTACATCCCGAAGTACCTTTTCTCCTCAAAACTATTAGAATGACGAATAGTGGTGATGCGCGAGTACGTCGTCTTAAAAAATGTGCCGTCTTACGACATCCACTCATTTTCTGAAGGTGAAGTCGACAATCCGTCTCCACTTAAGCCTCATTCTTATTACATCTATGTTGAAAGAAGACTTTAGCATGTTGACAAATTCAAAATTACTGAATATCAGTTTGAAATACAGATACATTCTTAGTAACTAGCACAAATAACAGAGGAAACAATTCAAATCATATTTAGGCTTCTATGAGTAGAGCAAGTTTACAACAAACTTTTACAATTTAACATGATGGAACAAGATATTGTTTCACAATGATTTTAAACACTATGAAAAAAATCTCATACAAATAACATAACTAACCGGATAAAACAGTGTGGTGTCCACGACGGATCTCATAATAAATTGCAAATTAATTTAAGAGAACAAATGTTAATGCTATGTGTATGCAGCAACAATTTCCTGCAAATTGTGTGTTGAAATTAAAGTATAAACAAATACCAACACTGTACAGAACTAAATATCCACCATAAATGTCATTGTCCGTAAATACGGTTTACAATTTTAACAAACACAGAAGTATACAATGAAATTACAAAAAATATATTTCTGTATATAAGAAACCCTTGTTTTTATGAAAATAATTAGTTCTGAATATGGTGCGCCTTGTATTCTCGCTACAAGTTGTCTTCTTCATTTCAAGTTCTTAGCCGTTAACAAAATTATCGAAGTATATTTTCAAAAAAAAAAAAAAAAAAAAAAACGAACTGCAAGCAAATGAAGTTGTTCTGATTTGAGTGATTTAGTTAATTTACTCAAATTTTAGAAGCAAATAACAATGCAGGGCAAATAATACGGCAGAAACCTGAAGTGATTAGCGAGTATTGTCCATATTAAGTACAGAATTGGTAATTAGACTTTACGAGTTTACAAAAGTTACTCTGGATCCACAGTTTGCAAGCTACGTCATCGTGCACACCATCGACCATTTTTCGGGAGTGCAATAAGATTTTCATAATTTCAAAGTAACTTGTGCGATAGCAGTAACAATATTTGGTTGGAAATGTTGATTCATCCGTCAAGCTCGTAAACCAAGTTTAATGTTTACCGAGTTAATAAGTTAAAATTTTGGTATGCAAGTTCGAATATTCCTGTTCTCTGATAATACAGTACTTTAAACCTTAGCCTCATGATGCTATTGGGAAAAAACTACAATATATTATTTGTGGTAACAGAACGTTGATTACGAATTAATCATTTGGTGAAAACATTATTCCATATATATATATATATATATATATATATATATATATATATATATATATATATATATATATATTCAGAATTGCCCCGTGATAGATAGTTTAATTAAAATGATCGAAGTGACTACCAAATCATTAATATTGACTATTCTTATACAAGTTCTTAAATAGAAAGTACTCTTCAAAAGCTCCTCACATATCATTTAATTAAGGATTTCGTTATTAAAGATATTTTTCAAATTTACCAATAAATAAATATATTAAACACCAGAGGGCATTGTCATTTCAGAAAAATAAATAAATTTGGATGTGGATAAATTT